CCCCAAAACCCCAAAACCCCAAAACCCCAAAACCCCTTCAAATTAAATATCTGTTGAAAAATTCATAACTAGATGTAATCCTCAAGTTGGCTTCTAACACCTGGAGATAGTTCGTATCCTAAAGGTAAACAAGCTAGCATACATGCAGGACACCTTCTGCATTTTCTTTGACACAAAGGCCCGAAGACCTCATTAAGGTCTCAATTAGGAATCACATTTTTCCTTTTCTTTGATTTCTTTCTTCTACCACTATTTTTACCAGATATATTTTTGCTATTGCTTTTCTTCACACGCCCACTTCCCCTTGTACCCATACTCTTATGTGTGAGTTTTGGCTTTGTTGATGAAGCTAATCATCAGAAGGTATTGCCTACCAAAGGTAGAAGACTTCCGACCCCTGGGTCTTGTCTTATTAGTCAGAATTTTATTTTGTCGCATCATGGTCGTCAAAAAATTTAATTCTACAATTTTATATTAAGTGATTACCCATCTCGAGTAACTTTGGATCGATAGCTGGTTTTGAAAAATCTTGCTTCTTTATAGCACTGGAGAAGTCAGATTTATATCAATAAGCTTACCTCTTAGATCCTATATTATTAAGCAAACCTCTTACGTTGTGAAACATGAGGTTTCGGCTTTTTCTGGTTGGCAAAATTGTTCATTGCTAAATTTCTGGCAAATTTTCTAACAAGATTAGCTTTAATAATATACATTGAACTTTTTGGCCCTTCTAAAAATTATATGGAGTTCATACTCTTCTCATCTTTAGGAAACTCTGGGAAGTTAAAATTTTCTAGATTGGTCTCCCTGGTACCTCTATGTGAGGATTGAGGCTTCTTCCTCTTCTTATCATCCATAAAGGCTTTATAATTCTTCTTCTGGTTCTCTTCATAAGGATGATATCGGCGCATATACGGATGTTTCTTCTCACTTTTAGCAATGGTTCTACTACTTATGTCGCTCTAGAGATGTTAAAACTAGCTTACCATCTTTCTTCGACTTGTAGGAAATTGCATATCATCAGATTCAAAGTGAGTTTCATCACCATCTGTATTTTCATAATCTTTCCAATCCCATCTGAGCGGTCTAGGGACAGAGAAATATGGAGACTCATACAAGAATCTCCTAATTAAAAAGTTGACTTCATCCCAAGTAGCCTTAATTCCAAGTGTTTTAAAATATTTCAGAATATCTCTAGCTTGCACCTTATATTTGGCATTATATGCAGTTGGGAGGCACTTCTGGCTCCCTGGATTAAGAATCGAAGTGGTCACCACAACATGATACTTTTCTTTCTGAAACAAATGAATTATCTTCAACTCTTGTATAAACATATCAGTAAGTAGCAGATGTATTTTCTTTTGTTGGTGAATCAGTTTCTCTGTAAAAAGTTCTACATAACGCTTCATTCGATCTTCATTAAGCCTTTCTGGCTTTGGAATATCTACGAACTTCTGCTCACGAAAAAGAGCATCCATTCTTAGCTTTTTATTAGAATTTGGCATGATATAATTATAAAATTCTTTAAAAGACAATGTCTAAAAATAAAAATACAAGATTACTGGAGGATCTCTTGGTCTAGAAATTCCTTCTATAATTTCCTTGCAATCAGCCGCATCTACCTCTCTTAGTAAATATTTATTTTAACATTTTAGGCTTTATACACCCAATACTATGCACATCAATTCATCTATACACAGAAAATGGCTCAAAATTCTCATATTCAGCCAATTGCTCCCTCATTCTCTCAGTCTATAACATTTAACACATCTAACCCCAAACCGACCCCACATAAACCTTCCTCTCCCTCCCCAAACCCCTCCCAACCCCCTCTTTACCTGTCCCAACCCCTAATCCCCAATTCTCCTACCCCTCAAACTCCCAACCCATCCTCATTTCCTAAACCTCCACCTTAAGCGTACCCCTCTTTCGATCCTGAACAATTCTATATAAAGGGTTAGCCAAGAATAGAGCTTACCTTCGAAAAATTGTTTAGAAAGAAACTTAAACTTTTTGAACTCCATTTAACGAATTTATATCAAGTATTGTTTTTAAGAAGGGGTTTTGGGGTTTTGGGGTTTTGGGGTTTTGGGG